AATGAATGTTTATTTGCAACTGTTAATCATTTTCAAACATTTACACCATGCAGGGTTAACCTTACAGTAGTGCTCAGCACTGTCAGACTTTCAAAATCCTTCATCACTTGAATTAAGATGATCAAATTTGAACACATCCACCACAAAATCAGACTTTAGTACCGCCTTTTATTTTGAGATTGATCTGAAGTTCAATGCAGATTTAAAATCATAAGAAATAGTTTACTGATACTGTTTTTGAAATAACTAAAGGAAACACTGCATCTAACAATGCTTTGGATTTTTTTTTAAAGTACAGTAGGCCTAACCATGTTTTTTTAAATATTTTTTTTGGCAAATGGATTACCATATGTCTTTATTTTTACTACAAATTCCATGGTTAAACTGCCAAGGAGGCCATCCATGAACTCATTGTCTACCCTGTCATGACTAAGAAGGCCGTCCATGAATTCACTGCCTGTCCTTTCACGGCCAAGGAGACCATTCAAAAACTCTCTGCTTGTTCTGTCTCAGTCAAGTGGTCTGTCCATGTCCCTGCTCTGCCTGCACCGCCATGGCCCCCCCGCTCTGCCTGCACTGCATGGCTCCCTGCTCTGCCTGCTCCGCCATGGCTTCCCGCTCTGCCTGCACCGCCAAATTCCATGGTTAAACTATGGTTAGTGTAGCCAAAACCATGGTTAATAATTTGTGGTTACTATGGTTAGGTAAAATCATTGTTCATTTCCGTAAGGGTTGTGTTGTTGTCTGCCCTAGCTCCCCCTAAACCTATTATAAACTATATGATTATTTGTCTGCTAAATTACTGCTGTAACTTTACAGTAGATAATGATGTCCTTTAGTAGGCCCTATACAGTATTTTGAGTGATGATTGATGAGCAATGGGCTGCTACTGCTTAACTAAGTAAACAAACACAAAACTATAGCATATTTACAGATGAAACTGACCTGCACTTGAAATCCTGAGCATTAATTTTGCTTCTCTGCTCCACCTGTGCACTTATACAGTCCACTCAAATCTCTTACATTGATTACTCTGATCTAAACCGTTTGGCGGAGGCGCGAGAGCCGAAGTGCATTCCCAATCACGACTAACCGATTCATGATTTATTAGAGATTTATTATTGAATGTCGAATTCGGAAACAATCGCTTTAGTACATTTGGCAGGCAATTATATAATAACAATAATATTAAAAAAGCAGGCAAAATCAGCTGCCAAGCCACCGGGAATTGTCCCGGTTCTCCAGATGACCAGTGTGGCGATGTGGCGCCTGATTTCCACAGAGACACGCAGAACGTGCAGGATTCATATATTGTCTTTTTGCTGCTGAATATTTACAGACCCTAGTCCATATCGCGTTTTGATTCAAGTGTACTGACCTACTTTTGATTTATTCATCCAAATGTTGCATATTCCGTGATATTCCGCGTTATAGGAATTCCAACCAGTCCTTGTTTTCCGCATTGCGGAAATCATAGGGCCGTATGTCTCATATTTTAGAGTAGTCAGAACAATTTGGGAAAGAAATCAATTAAATCT